TCCTCAGTTCAGTGGAGCAGGGCTGGGAACAGAACACAAAGTGACCTGGCCTGTTGGGGGCAGAAGAGTTGGAAAGAAAGCTTTGGGCCCTGACAACAGACCACTAGGGAGCTGGGAGCTGCTTTTGACTGATACCAGGCTCCTGAGGGCCGGAATGGCTGATCACGGCCAGCCACATTAAATATGTAATTTCAGAAATGTGATCAAACTGACTTCCTGCCAGAGCTACGGAGGAAATCCCATAGGGTGCTGGAGGGCCTTTCTGTTTTCCATTTTTGATTCTGTGTTGGGTTAATATTTTTTTTTTTTTTTTTGAGAGAGAGAGAGGGAGAGAAAGAATGATATTTAATTTACCCAGTCTTTTCAATCAACGAAATTGATACATTAGCAGGATGGGTGGCAGTGGTGGCAGCAGCAGGGAAAGTAATTAAAAAGTCTAATTTTTCTTTCCAAAAGCACCAGCCTCTAAATTGGATAGGTCCCCGTGGACTAGAAAGTAGACAAAGTTTTAATAGAACTTTTATTCAAAGTCCAACAATGGCTTTGTTATGCTCAGACATTGGGAAGAATACTTTCTTTTTTCCAGGAGTCAATGTTCCGGACATTGAGGGCCTGGAGGGATAAAGATTTATATAAGTTTCTTAGGGCTGTCATAATGAAGTCCCACACGTTGCGTGGCTTAAAATAATAGACATGTTCTCTTCCCACAGCACTAGAGGTCATATATCTAAAATCAAGGGGTTCACAGGGCTGTTCTGCCTCTAAAGCTCCGGGGGAGCATCTGGCCTATGCTTTTCTCTTAGCTTCTAGTGTTGCCAGCAACCTTGGCTTAGAGGAGCGTCGCTCCGACCTCTGATTCTATGGCCACACAGTGAGTGTCCTGTGTATGTCTGTGCTCTGTGTTCTTATAAGCACACAAGTCTTATGGCCCTAATCCAGTGTGGCCTCATTTTAAACTAATTACATCTGCAAAAACTTTACTTCTCAATAAGGTCTCATTCACAGGTACAGAGGTATGGGGATCTTAATGGACCTTTTTGAGACACAAAATTCTACCTATAAGAGAGACTGTATTTTGGGGTGGAGAGGAAGAAAGGAGAGTTATACAAGACTATCTACCACGTTTAAGGAGAGGAAAGTTACCTAGCCTACCTCTTCTTAAATTGGGAACAACAAGGCTTGGGTGCTACAGCTACCCAAGGTCTTAAATATCAGACTGATCTTTCGGTCCAAACACCAGGTCTCCCAGGAAGTCTGAGTGTTCTCGCTGGAAGGCTCATCTCTAAATTACTCTGTGATGTGTTTGTAGAGCCCTCAGCTTGAAACCAGAAAACCTGGGTTCACTCTTTTCTACTGTTCACCTGCTCTGTAGCTGGAGAGCACATTAATAAACTCCTTTGACCCTTGATCGACGTTTCTGTAAACATGGGATAAAAGTAATTTCCACCCACTGTAATTTTATAACACAACTTTAATGTGAAAAATGCTTGTGAAAGGTTTTGCCAAACTATCAACAATTTTTTTAAAAAATAAAAATTCCCTTTCTCCTGTTTTTCTGGGGTAGAACCTCAGGTCATTCTGCTTGAAATGCTGATCTGATTCTCCTTGTACCCCAGAGTGGACAAATATGAAGTAATACTGGGAAGGATACCATCTATCTCGGAGAATCTAGAACTCAAGGTGATCAAAACTCCCTTTCTCAATGCCCAGTGGCCTCAATCTCTCAGCAGCTAATGTGACCTGATGGGACAGATTTTTATCTGGGGGCTAGTTACAGTCTAATCCTTTAGCTGGGCCTATAAATAAGTCCGAAGGCATCAAAGATAATGATAAAAGGAAAAACAAAGAAAGTCTTTCTTCAGATATCCTTCCCTTTCGAAGCCTTGGGGGAAGAACGTACAGCTCTCTGCTCATGATGATGAAATTAGCAGGCTCTTCCTCATTCAAGTCAGAGGCAAGAAAGAGCTAGAATCATACTGAATGCTACTGAAGAGAATATATTTTATACAACATAAAAGACCCCAGCATAAATTAGAAGAAATATGGGGAGCTTTCAAAAAGGTAGGTCAAACTTTTTCCTCAAGCAGATAATTACAGGCTGGGGGTGAGTAAATCTTATTAGCCTCTTCTCCACCCCATCTCTTCTCATAAAACACTAGCGAGAAGAAAGCCACATTCAATTCAGGACAGGACAGCCTCCCCGAGAGGACCGGCCTGCTGCTGTCCATCATGATGTCTGTGGTTGTATTGTTGATGCTACTCTCACCACCACCCCTCCCCCAGGGTGCAGGAGAAGATGGCCAGCCATGCATGAAGCTCCTCTGCAGACTTGCTGAGGCTGGGGGACTCCTCACTGTCTGAAGAACTATCCCTTCAGGCAGCAATTTTCCAGTCAAATTTCTCTGCCCAAGTTTGAGGCCTTAAAATTAATGAAGTTGTTAACATTTCTTAAAATGTCTTTCCTGGCAGTTGAAAGGTATAGATTTATTACCTACAAGCCTGCTGGCCTCTTTGGTTCATAGACATGTAGGCTGAGCCCCTAAAAATACCTTGAGGGAATGGGTGTATTGACCTTAACTCTTGTCTTCAGCCTGCTCAGCAATGAGTCCCTTAATGTCTGGGCGTTGAGGCCAGTCCACAGAGGCCTCTCCATAGCAATGGGCCTAGCTGCCTACAGAATTATTTCCTTGGCCTAAGAACTCTGTGAAGTCAGGGCCAAGGCTTACTCATTTTTCTATTTAATCAATTTCAGCATCTTTCATGGGCTCAGCACAGATGTAGTGGTGACGTACGTGTGTGTATTAGAAGGGGGTGCATAAGTCTCCACTAAATTAAATATGGTGAGAAGATGAAAAGGATCTGAAATTATTACCATACTCAGTCAAGGAGACACCAATCAAGAATGAGCTCTTCCTCCTCCATGAATCAACACCAATAATGGTGCCGACTTTGGCACCCTTGTCCAGCATTTGGGCAACAACTTGCCGATGCTTTCCGTCTTCTCTATCAAGAAGGGAAATCATGAGGTCCTAGGCCACAAGGAGAGCATGAAAGTGAACTTGGGAAACATTCAGATGTACTCCTTTGCCCTAAGGGAACACAGCCCTCTACCCTTATTTTACAGAAGAGGAGGGTGAGGATCAGAGAGAGGAAATAGGTTTATCAAGGCCAAGAAATGGGTAGGTAGGCGGCTTAAAAAACTATCATGGTTTTCTCCTTTCAACCTGCAACCCCTCTCAAGATGCTCCACAGGGAACAAACACATTGCTCTCTGAGGCCTACAGGAGGCAAACCTGCCTTCCTTGGACATTCTGTCTTTCAAATAGTTGTCTTCCTGTTAGAGATACTGAATGACTTTGAGAGCAGATTCAAAAGTGTTATCTGAAGACCAGTTGTATTACAAATCTGGTTACAAAGCATTAAGGATACCAAGGACTAGATTTCAATTATTTATAGACACTTGCCCTTATCATAAGATGACAGTGTCTGGCTTAAATATAATCAGGAAGTAATTCTTATCTGGAATCTCCTGAGAACCACTGATCCTTCTTTCCCTCTGGGGATGCTTAGGAGGAGCAGGAAACATCCTAGCACAGAGTATCATCCTAAACTGCCCTAGGGTTTGTGATGCGTTCGTTTCTTTTAAGTTCGAAATGAAAGGTACCATTAATACGTACCGAGACTAACTGTGTTATGGATGACGGACAGCAGGTTTCAGACCAGAGCTTTTCTACAGTGAGTAGAACATCTCTGTTAGGTGCATTTTAAATAGCTCAAGCCCAAGGGCATAGAATGAGCAGCAGGAATAGGTAAAAATGCCCAGAAGGGAATCTCGAACTCAGTGCTACACTGGGTTCATCAATACTTAATTGAATCAAGCCTGATGAGAGAATTCCATCTCTGGAGTCCTTCTGAATTCATTCATTATGCACAAGGCTTTAGGAGTGCTGTCCTTGTGATGAGATAAGGTGGGGAACAAACACAGCATAGTGCTTGCTCTCTTGGGGTTCGCCCAAAGGAGTTCCAGAGAAAGGAAAATGTTCCCTCGGAAATGTACCAGCTGGGTTCCAAACCTGTTCTTTGTACTGTAGAAGCCCAGCTGCTATGAGCTGTTAGGTTAAGCATGGAGAACCAAGAACTCTATGCCATGTAAATATGGCCCCCTGCGGGCTCCTAGGTTAGGATTTAGCAGGCTTAAGTGAACTGCTGAGAGAAAGAGTGAATTTAAGGGAAGAATTCTCACTTGATGGCTAGAAAACCTATCCATGTGATGATATTAAGCTCAGTTTCCACATCTGTGTAAATGGAAATTGAATGTTTTTTCCTTATTTCCAAGGGTATTGCGGAATCAAATGAGTTGAAATAATATCAAATTGCATGTTTGGGAAACTACCCAAATGTAAGAGAGTCACTGAGGGAGACATGTGGCCTTCATAGTAACAGTCCCCTCTCAAGAGTACATGATCTTTAGAAACATGGTGGGTTAAAATCTTATATCCAAAAAGCAACAGTCGAGCTGAAAATAAGCAGTGCGTCTAATGATTGGCAAGGGGATGTCAAGAATTCCAGGTGCCACACAGCAGCAACAACATTCTTGGCTTCCTCCAGTATGCAGAATGCAACGGGAATGGCTTGGCTGGAATGGTCTGATGCCACTGGGAGACCAAGGGCACAATAAGATTTTGCAGGGGAGGTACCTGGAGGTACCAGGGGAGGTACCACATCCCCAGCTCTATTTTGTATTTTATTTAGAGACATAGTCTCAATGATTACTTAGCACCTTGCTTTTGCTAAGGTTAGCTTTGAACTCAAGATCCTCCTGCCTCAGCCTCTTGAGCCTCTTGGAATCCAGGCGTGTGCCACTGTGCCTGGCAAGATTTCTTTTTATGTAAGGAGCCCAGGGATCCTTGGAGCATCATTAATCACAAACTGAAATCCATAGTATCCTTAATTATAAGATAGCAATAGTGCCTCACAAATAACTATCAAAATATACTTACCGTATCGACTGCGATGAGACAGGAAAGGAAAAGAATCTTTCATTATCCAGGTGAGATTCCACACAAAATGGTCAGGAGGAGAAGAAGGCATGTTTGTTGGTGACTCCAAGGAGCTGTGACCTGGACATAAAAACAAAGAGGAGAATACTGATTTTGTGCACTTAGCAGGGGTCATATAGTTGTCACTCAATATCTTTATCACTATCAAACAAGTTCACAAGGGGATTTCATGATATTCATTGAAAAGATGAGGAAAAAAATGACTGAGACACTAGTAGACACTAGTAGACCATGATGTACAAGGACAGCCAGATCTAAGATATCTGAATACTGTGACCAAGGCCATGTTAAGGATCTCTGGAAGATGAACTAGAAGGCAGGCAACTTAATGGCTTGGTCTAATAGCTCTATCCAAAGTCTATTCTGTCTGTAAGAATTTGTGCAACTTTATACAGAACTTATATTCATCTTGCCCAAATAATGTCTCCTTCTCTATGCACAGACTCGTAACTTCATCTAATGTTGTTTGCTTGGGTTATTGCCTTATCAATGAGAGGGTTGAAATTGCACTCAGAAGTTATGAATACTTGACGATTATGTTATGTTCGGGGGTGGGGGTGTGTGGAATGCTAGGAGACAGGTTTCCCCACTTCCAAGAGGCCAGGGAGCCACAAAGGATTAATGTTTCCAATTTGCATGAGAGAAAGAAGGGTTGAGGGAAAAAAAGGAGCAGAGCAGCATTAGTCCATTCCTTAATAGTACCTCCAGTGGGTTTTGTGTGGTGAAAATCATTACAATATATCTACAAATCAAATGAGCGCACGCTGCATGCTCTTATATAGTTCTTCCCAGAAAATCTCCGACTCAATCACTATTTGCTAATGTTTTATGGCAGACAAAGCTTTTTCTGTTAAAGAAGGAAGGATCTGAGAATTAGTTCCGTTTAGTAGATAGATGTGTAGCCAGATTGAGTGAGGGGAGGAGGGAAGGAGGGAAGCAGAGTTTTTTCTGCAGCTTCCATAGAGCAGGTACCATGGTGGCCCCTTTATCCACACAGTGCCACATGATGTTCACAGTGACGCTCTTAGATGGGAATGATCATGTCCATTTTACAGGTGCAAAAACTGATGGAACTGAGCCCATGGTTGCTTAATACCAACAGGTCATATTCTCCCAGGTGTGGGCTGATTTGCTACTCCAGTGGTAATTGTCAACTCATTTGGAGTGACTTTATGAAGAAGAGGGAGAAGAGAAAGAAAAAGCAACAGGCCAGCAGAACCATTTTCCTAGCTTGTCTGCCTTGCAGTTTCTTCTGAACCTCTGTAACATTGGCTCCTTGGGTCCTGTATTTCTGTCTTCAACTTTATCCCCCCCACCCCCACCCCAGGGCAGGGATTGAACCCAGGGCCTTGTACATACTAGCACCAAGATACATCCCTAACCCTCAACTTCTTTTTAGCGTCAACCCAACCTCATATGCTTTAAGGAAATCTCTGTGGGGTTGCCAACTTTTTGCTTCCAGCCCCCTCCACTGTTTCTACAGGTGCTGAACTACGGTAAAGCTGACTACAGGGCCATGAGTCCCTGCAAATGGAACAGGATGGGCATTCTAAAACAAACAAACAAACAAAACCCCAAACCCCCTGACCTCTAGGCACCTCTACCTCCTCTGCCTTCCAAAGATTTGAATTGAAATTGCAGATGGCTGGCTCCTGGGTACCTGGTAGGGAGTTTTTTTACATTCTTCTCATTTCTGATCTAAGAGATCAGAACTAAATTGGCCACTGCCAGGTACAACTTTGTGTAGCAATTCTACAAAATGACTCAGAGGAAATGCACTAAAAGGCCCCAAAAGCTAGTGCTAGGGAGCTGCAGAGAGAAACCATCTCATTTCACTGTCACATCAACTCCATTTTTAAGATGAACAATGGGGCTCAGAGAAGTGAACCCAAGGCCACATGAGTTTTCTTGGGCAGAGTTAAATTTATTACACTTAAAAAATAAACAAAATATATCCAGTATATCTGAATTAGGCACTATGCCAAATACTTTAAATGTATCATCTGCTTCTTACAACCACCTTATGAATAAGTATTATTATTTGTCCTAATTTTGAGGAAACTGAGCCTCAAACAGGTATTATGCCTTGACTATAGACACAGCCAGTAGCAAGCAGGAGATCAGAGTCCACAGACCAGGTGAACCTGATGTGAAAGCCCATGCTCCTTCCACTACCCTACCTAGACCCCTCAGACCAACACAGGGTGGTCCTTGGCTCTCCTCAGTGTCTGACAGGGCCCCCATGGGCAATGGCAAAGGTTGCGAGTTACTACTGAGCATGCTCCACAGCGGCACAACAGGGTGAAGGGCCTGGGAAAACCATTCAATCAAATCCTTGCAATGACTCCCATGTGAATAAAAGCCGGCATCTCTAAATCTGACTCATCAGCTTAGCTCAAATTTTAAGTAATTTTGAAGCAACAATAAAACTGAGCCTGAGCTATATTTCCCTGTTTCCAAGTGATGTCATTGTTCTTAACCACTCTATTTGGGAATGGTATTTACTTCTTCCTGGATGTGAAGGATCAAACAGATGGAGCTAGACTTCAGGACGCACTTATGACTCTGAGTAGGCACAGAATGGCAGATGACTTTTTACCTGGATGAGGGCCAAGTAATATAATCAGTGACATATATTTATATATATCACATATACATACATTTATATACATATACATACATTTATATACATATACATATGTGTGTATATGTATGTGAAAAGCATATATGTATGAAAGCATTCAAAAGAAAGGTCTCTGAGGGCTGAGTCATGACCTGAAAAGGAGATATGGTCATTGCTCTAGGTAATACCAATAGATAGAGCTTAAAGCTTTTCATAATTCACCAAATGGCAATAACTTACTGGGCAAATTTTGGTATTCAGAGTTGAATACTAAAAAGAAAGTAGAATGTTTTATGCTTCCCTTGCAGGAACTCCCAGAATTCTAGACTCACAGGAATCCCAACCTGGTCCCTAGAGGAGGTGGCTAGAATAAGTATCTGGATGAGGCTGGAAGCTAAGGGAGGGGTTGACCAAAAGGATCAGCCTCCCCACCTGAAAAGATGAAGACAGAGAAAAGCACAACCTATATGAATGGAGTTGTTCTCCAAATTTGGAGGCATTTGGGACATCAGTGAGTTCTAATCAAAGTTCATAGAATATGCCTAAAAATTTGAATAGACAGAAGAAAGTTCTTCTGCATTGAACTGGTGTAGGGTGAAGAATCTGTTTCTTCCCTTCACAGTCCTTGTCCCTCCCTATCCTCACTCCTGCTGGGAAGGAAGTTTTTCTAGCACAAGGAGAAGTCATGCCATGAGAAGAAATCCATTTAAGCAAGAGCTGGCTTGTCTTTGTGGTGCTTCACTCTGAAAATGTGAGGCTCCAAAGTGGAAGGAGCCTCTCCAACACAGACTTTGGGGGCAAAGGTTAAATCAAGACCTACTGACTCAAGTAGAATGACTCTTGGGCCCTAGGGGAAAGACTGGAGGAGAGGGTGGCATAGGAGCAGGTGCCCCTGTGAGGCAGAACAATGATGGTCTAGTAGAGAAGAGGAACAGAACATCCCCAGGCTGAGGGCATCATTGGCTACTGGTAAAACTGCTCTTTTTTCCTGATGAATTTCTGAGCCCTTTCTGGGCAATGCAGTGTGTCAAGGTGGAGTGAAGACCCCAAGCTCCCAATACCCATCTTTTTTTCACCATGCATCACCCTCTCTGATAATCCCCTGTGTGCTCTCTCAACCCCTCTGCCTCCTCCCTCCTCCACAACTGTCATGGGTACTGGTACTGGGCGAGGAGGAAGGCGGGGAGGAGGGAAAGGCAATGAAGCTGACAAGTCTCACTTTAAATTCACGACCAGAAACCTCAAGAAAACCCTCAGGACTGCCCAGAAATCCTACTGCATTCCCTAATCGATTCAATTCACTCTCTTTCCAGAACAGCTATTTCAAACTTCTCTTACTCCTCCAATTCCCTCATTCCTCCACATTCTCGCAAATGACCTTGCTTCTTATTTTGTTGAGGAAAAAAGCAGCAAACCGCCTGCTGATGGTGCCCTGAACATGCCGCCTTCCCCCCTGCTTTAAAGGATGAGGTATCTACACTCTAAAGCAGTGCTAATCCTGTCCCTTCTCAAGGACTCTGCGATTGCAACTGTCCCCCTACCTCCTGCACCAATTTACCCTCTCTACTGAGTCATTCTCAACTGTGGAAAACATGTACCATCTTTTAAAAAGAAAAAGAAATCATTTCTTTGACTTCCATACTCTTCTTCATGAATTACCCTCTGATTCTGATCTCCTTTACAGCCAATCTCTTTTTTTTTTATTGGTTGTTCAAAACATTACAAAGCTCTTGACATATCATATTTCATACATTTGATTCAGGTGGGTTTTGAACTCCCAATTTTACCCCAAATACAGATTGCAGAATCCTGTCGGTTACACATCTACATTTTTACATAATGCCCTATTAGTAACTGTTGTATTCTGCTACCTTTCCTATCCTCTACTATCTCCCCTCCCCTCCCCTCCCATCTTCTCTCTCTACCCCATCTACTGTAATTCATTTCTCTCCTTGTTTATTTTCCCATTCCCCTCACAACCTCTTATATGTAATTTTGTATAACAATGAGGATCTCCCTCCATTACCATGCAATTTCCCTTTTCTCTCCCTTTCCCTCCCACCTCATGTATCTGTTTAATGTTAATCTTTTCTTCCTGCTCTTCCTCCCTGCTTTGTTCTTAGTTGCTCTCATTATATCAAAGAAGACATTAGGACTTGTCTTAGCTCTGGTCTCTACTTTCTCCTCCCCTCCCCCCACACTTTCTTTTAAATACAATAAAATCAAGATTATCTTCATTATCACTGGTCAAGGTCACTGGTGACTCCAGGCTGCAGACACAATGAACAAGTCTCAGACCTGATCTTATCCTCCCAGCATTTGAACCCACGGATCCCTCCCTGATTCCTGAGGCCTCACATCTCGACGGCCACATAGTCCTTGGTTGGCTCCTACATCAGCGTAGGTCTTCTTCACTTTTCTTTACCAGATCTACTCC